GACTTTTCAATCGTAAACGAAATGGGAATTTTTGCCGAACAAACATAAAAAGTGAATACACTTAGTCAACCAACAAGTGAGTCGGCCAAATATCGCCTGATTGTAGACAAAGGATCGACACACGTCCAATAACGCTACACGTGGGCAGGGCGAAGCCAGGCCTGGGAGAGAGTGTGTCGTGAGAGAGGGGACGACCGCTGTTGGAACTTCGTCTGATACGTCAATCATGCCAGTGTAGCTTCCGCTTTTTTCGTCTTCCCTCGTGCATAGTCGATTGAATGGGAAGACGGGGTTTAGCATATTACGTAACGCCTAAAGCATGCTCTTTCTAATTGTAACAAATATGTTCTCAGATTAACGGCGCCAAAAAAACTGGTTCCTTTTAAATTAATGTAGTTTGCCATTACACCACGGATTTGGGAACCCGTTGGGATATTCATCGACCTGCTTCCTACCATATTTCCAAGTTTAACGAGGTCGAAATCCTCGTAGGATGTGTAAATCGCCTGAGGCGTGAGCTGCTCGAGTCTTCGTTCTTAAACCCACAGTCAAGCAATAATTGCAACGACTTGCTGTTTCCATGCATGGCCTGAGCAGGAGAATCACGCACGTGGGAAGGGCCGGACTCAGTAACAACGTCAACGACAGCGAACATAATGGTCGCATAATTATCAAGGCCGCATCTAACAGGGATGAAAACGTTGCGGCAATAAGTGACTGCGAAGCGGACTGTCAAACAATCACCACACCAATCACGGAGTAGTGGTTAGGGGAGCTGCTAACTATAGCAAGCATGCAGTCGCGTGGCCACTACGAACTTTAAAATACTGCGTAATCTGTGAATATATTACCCTTATCTGTGCATCTATCCCTCTAATCTACGGTTGCCTCTGATTAAGGGTTCGGGACCGAATCCGAAACGGCAGCCAAATAAACTTCTTGTTCCAGCGATCACATCTTCTACTTCTGAAAGTTCATGAGTATCCGCTGACCCCTGATTTCACCCAAATCCTGTCTATTTTTATTTAGTATACAAGACTGAGCATGAAGCTTTCCTTAAGAAACCGTATCCTGAGCCTCAGTTACCATCACAAAACTGCGCGAGTTAGGTCGGCTGTTGTAGGTTTCTCCTAAAAAAAGTGAAGTAAGTCTTTTGGTAAAATTCGGCATCACTAGGTGGTTAATTCTGAGCTGTTTATATATCACAAGCACACATGAAGGCATGCTAGTGTTAGACATTTACCGAACGTTTTCTCATTGCCTAGTCTCTTCTCATTGCAGAATATGTTGGATTTGTTAATGCTAACTGGTGCTGACAGCGGCCCTTTGAATTCTCTCAAAACTGAGTCATCCTGTACTCTCCAATCTGTTTTGCAAGAAAAAACTGCCGTATCTCCCTCTTTTGTTTCAGGATATGCTGGAAAGCACAATATCTTGCCCGTTTTCGACTACCTCGTAAAGCGGATTCGTGCTGTTGACAGGGAGAAATTCATCTTCTTTGAAAGCGTCACCTGGAGCGTTCTTGGCACACAGAGCTACGGTGGTATTTTTGGCGCGGGATTCGATCACGTGCCTGGAGCGCTGGAAGATCCCACAGAGCCAACCAGAAGTGTCCTCTCCTACCACTACTACTGCCCGCTTACGCAACTGTCCAACCCAGCTGATGATTTTCCCAATTGGAAGCGCGTACTTTGCGATGAGGTGACATTCTGTTTTTGGTTCAGTGCATTTTGGCAGCAAATGTCAGTAAAGTTGTGTCGATAAAAGTTTAATTTTGGGTCTACTCCAGCTTTAAATAACCGAATATTTAGTTGTAATAATTAAAATGGTCCATTGTTGTCCGATTGGGAACAATCCTTGACTCTATATCAACTTCATGTAATCTCTGTAGAATTGATATAGAGATGATATATGGTTGATAAAGAGTCGACGATTTTTTCAGTTTGGGCACTATGGAGCCTGCTTCTTTCTTCGTTGTATTTCTCATTTTAATCATCGCGCGAATATTTGCTTACCTAAATTATTGTTCTTATTTTCTACGTTTATACGCTCTCATTTTTAATTCTTTTTCTTTCTCCTGGTATATCCTTCCCATTTACCCCACATAACCACTCCTCCTGTATTACAGAAGGATAGGGTTTTCGCATGCTGTTGTGGACGCTAAATAGAACTTTTGCTGTTGTGATTTTCCCAAAATGGACAGTAATGCAGACCACGTTGCCTAAGGCGTTTATCTATCGTATAAACAGCGGGGCACTAGGATGGGCATCGATTCCGCCTGCGACCTACCGTCAGTTTCGATTTTCATGACCTCTTTATAGGTTCTCAGGTTAGCGATGATAGGCACTGCCTTAGTTTTAAGCGGGCAACCCCTTTCTATGCAATTATATACTTAAGAAGTCACAAACGGCCCACTTATGGTAACTGAAATGTTAGCTGCCCATTGCTGCGTACGAATC